TCCTATTATGTTATACGATAGCACAAGTCTCTTGACAGATGCAAGCACCTGATCTTGGATTTGAAGACTCCAGACCATCACTTGAATGTCTTTCCTTTATAAATTACTCTCAGGCATTCTGTTATAGTAACAGAAAGAGGACTAAGACACAACATTTCCAAAAATTTAAATTGGAATGCATTTATTAGAATAAAAGTAAATGGTATTTGTTCTCATTTTTCATAGGCCTAGTCATGTCCTATTACCTTACATATAGCTTAACTATGTATATGTCTGGTCTCTACAGGATTTGATCTTATGACATTAAAACATTTTTTAATATTTAATTTTTAGTTGTAGTTGGGCACAATATCTTTTTTTAAAAAAAGTGGTTTTTTTTTTGTAGTTGTAGTTGGACACAATACCTTTATATTATTTATTTATTTTTTTACATGTGGTGCTGAGGATGGAACCCAGGGCCTTGAACGTGCTAGCCAAGTGCTCCACCACTAAGCCACAACCCCAGCCCAACATTAAAACATTTTTATTTATCAAATTAAATTTAGTTTTTAAACCAATACATAAAATTGTACATATTAGTAGGGTATTATGATATTTCAATACATGTAGACATTGTGTAATCAGGTTAATACATCTATCTGTTCAAATATTTATCTCTTTTTTTATGGTGAAAACATTCAAAATTATTTAAAACCTTTTGAAATAGTCTTTAAATATTTGTTCAGTATTTATTTAGAATAGAGGCTAAAGGTGGTGAAGAAAAAGGACCCTGGTTATGGTAGCCCCACCTCTACTATCCAGAGCAAAATTTAGTCCTGCTCCTCAATTCCTATATATTGCACTCATCAAAACAAAACTCTACAATTACTCTGACACCCATGTGGAGGGTGAGGGACAGTTAGAAACTCTTTGTTGTTACTCTAAAATGTTTTAGGAGGTCCTTATGTCCATCATCACCATCTACCCAAGTTGCTTATGAAAAGAAACATTTAAAAACCCACAGTATCCTCCCCTGGGAAAATTCTGGTAGTACATGACCTTTATCTTGCCATGCCTCCAGCATGTTTGAGCAGAAGAGGCTGGAACCTCAGGCCATCTGGCTCTGTCTTGATGTTTCTCACATGGAAGGCAGGTACTATTTCCAGAAATTAGGAACTGCAGAGAGGGCAATTTTTGAGAAGGAAATAATGAGTACAGGTTATATATGTAGAATTTGAACCACCAATGAACCACGCAGGTGGATCATTCTGAATAGGAAGGCGAGATCATAAACCCCAAAGGGGGGTTCTCAGATGATATGAGCTTAAACACCATGTCTTATGGGATGGGTTGGGTTTGACTGTATGTGAAGAGAGAACATTCAAGCAGGACAAGGAGCATTGGCCAGCACACTGTTAGCAGTAGGATACTTATGAATGAGATCTGTGCACTGATCTACACACTAACTTTTCTAAAGCTTTTTAACAATTCTTGATAGAATTCTTAGCATTTAGATATCTCATACCTTAGCAAAGATCTCTATAACAAACAGTCCATTTTCAAATCAGCAAATCTGGTATAGTCAGCAACATCAACAAAACTGCTAGTGCCTGCTGTTCCATTTGGCCTACAAAAAACAACTCTTCCTGGTTAATAGGAAAAATATCAGGCTAATCAAATGTATTGGCACTACATTTTATATCTAAGGCAAAATTTAAAAGCTATAATGAGCATCAATTTCAGGAAAAATGATTTTTTACCTACTTCCCTTAGTCTTTCTCAACTGCTCTTCAGGGCAAAAGCACTCTCCTTGGCACCTCAGCTCATATAAACAGGTGTGAACAAGTATACGTGTTAGGTTATAAAAGTGTGGTTTCTTAATTGGTTTTGAGCTCCAAATAATACTTGAAAAGTGACTTTCTCAATTCAAAACACAGACATTACAGTGTACTTTTGGTGGTAAAAAAACTGGAAACAACCTAAATATCCAAGAACAGGGAAAAGTTTAAGCAAAATATGATATATCTGTATTATGTTGCACTATGCAATCATTAAACATGTTTTTCACAAATTTTACATGAGGGAAAATTCTCATTAAACTTAAGAGATAAATTTAAATGATGCAAATGGTTATATAGTAGGTTACACCCATCTAACTAGGCATTATAAAAAAAAAACAGGCAGGAAAATGCTAAAATATTCAGTGTTTTCTCTGGGTGGAGCTAATGTTGAATTTTTTCCTATTTTCATATTATCAACATGCTACTTTCATAATAAAGAAAAAATAAGCATCTGAAAGGTTGCAATAGTGAGAGGATTTTTCCAATGCCCAAGCCTCTGAAAAGGACATGTCCTGACTTCCACCCCTGTGGTGGCAAAAAAGTGTGAAGGGGGATAAATTATTGGTCCAAATATATTGATATTGTTAGAAATTGCTTATTTAATGTAAATGCAGAACTAAAGTAAATGCATAGACATTGATTATCATAAACTTTACATAAACACAGTTCTTCCTCTAGAATTTTAAAGCAAAGACCTATACTTAAATGAAGTTGGCTTCTTGGAATACAACATAAGGGAGACACAGGGGTTCTTGTCATTTCCAAAATTAGCAGGTATTATCACCACCAATATGTCCAAGTTCTCCCCTTCCAAACACACACACACACACACACACACACACACACACACACACACACACAGAATTTGTATCAGTTTTTAGAAGTCCTTAGAGTATTCTCAGCCCTTATATAGCCTTAAGAGTAAGAACATTAAAATAACTACAAGTTAAAATAGGGTTTGAAATCTTTCCTTGGTGTTTCTTATGTTTACTAGTATCCATCAAACTCAGTAGGACAAGGATTTTCTTTTCATCTCATTAATGGTGCAGTAGAAGAAAAAAATTTAGAAAGTGGCATGCAGATATTTCTTCTATAGAATGTAAACAGTATTCCTTAAATCAAATGTGGAATCATCATACACAAGTAGAAGTGAGTAATGTATTACAGTTTATAAAAAGAAATAACCTACTGAGTGAAGTTCTAAGAGCAATAGCCTATTGTATTATTTACACTGTAAAATATAATCTGTGTGTATATCAATATTATATCACAAAGAATACCTGTAAAACATGAATAACATTATTAGATATGGATTAAAATCAAAGAGAGCAATCCTGGACATGTTTACAAACAGTGATTAAGAAGTTCTAAAAATTGTAGACTGACATTCTCATAAAATAGTATTTGAGTCAAGCTTTATGCAAATGCTTCATTTTTTAAAATATAGAATCTATGGGGCTGGGATTGTGGCTCAGCCGCCTAGCACGGACAGAACCGAGGTTCGATCCTCAGCACCACATAAAAATAAAAAGGCATTGTGTTGTGTCCATCTACACCGAAAAAAAATAAATATTAAAAAAAGAAAAATATATAGAACTATCTCATTTTGGTTAGCAAATCACACAACACAACCAAACCTATTATGTTTGAACACTTAAGTATTATTTATTTGAAAAGAAACTGACCATAGGAAAAAAAATTTAAGGAGCTTTATGGAAATATCATTTTATTTTGTAATGATGGGGACAGGGAGTCTTAAGATGATTTTCTAAAATCTAAACTAGGAAAGGTACATCCAACTTTGAGAATATCACATTAACACACAAAATTTTGTCAAGGCCTTTGATAGCTAGGTAAGTCTCCAAAAAATCTTTTTTGGGAACTTATTAATATGTAACAAGGATACACACAAAAATAGACCCAACTATTACATGACAGTAAGTCTATAAATCATCAATGAAGAACAATCTTATGCTAATACAACCTTGTGATTTCAATTTCTATGAGCAAAATTACAAAGCCAATTTCAGAAAATCTAGTGGGTCTCTTTTTAGTTTAGATGTTCATTGAAAATAACGCAGGAAAACATTCTGATTTGCTACTTTCTCTTTACCTCTGAAGCTATGCTTACCCGGCCACTTCTTACTCCACATCCTCTCTGACTCAGAGACTATTTGGAGAGGACACCTGTTCTAAATGGATCCACAGGAAATACCTATGTGGTCTATCACAGTGTGACCCTGCATCTGGTTGGTTGAAATACGATCATGATTTAAGGAAAAAAAAAAATGCTGCCCACAGACTGAGGCAACTTTAGAGTGACAACATTTACTGGAAGGCAGAGGGAATCCAGTTTATATTTATTTTCGTCCCATTAAGCTCTGGTTTCGTACTGCTGGTGGGGTGGGAGTGGGGTGGGGTGGGGGTGGGGTGGGGCGGCGGAAGTCAATGGGTAAAAGTGAGTTTAACGCCCCAAGGACTTAAGTTACAGCACACGGGTTTTGTTTTTGAATTGAATGGAGTCTTTAGCAACAAGTGTTACCTGGCACTACTTTCTTTATAGCTTTACATTTATAAACCTCTTGTCCAAAGTTCATATTCTAGCTTGTGTTGTTTGTTGTCAGGATGGTAAACCTCTTGCAGAACAGTGCAGGGTAGTCCCCGCCTGAAAGCACGATTTATGAGTCAGGGGCGACCTGACAGCGCTGACACCTCCCCTGGACCCGCACTGGGCACCTCGCCTGGCCCAGAGCAGCGTCCCAGGGGCTGGAACACTGGTTGACAGGAGGGTCCCCTGATTCAATCCAGGTTCCTGGCCCCCTCGCCCGGCCCTGCTCCCTCCACGCCCGGCAGATGCCATCAGCGGCAGTGCCCCAAGTCACTGTGCACTTCCCGAGGCCGGGTGACACTCTCGGAGCCCGCCCACCCCTTCCCGGGACGCCTAGAGGGCGCCCCCGGCCGGGTCTCCCGGGCCCCGCGAAAGCAGGAGCAGAATGACGAAGGTGACGGAAGAGATGACGCCACGCCGCCCGCCTGGCCGCAGCCGGCCACCGGGAGCGCCCACAAACAACGCCCCGCCCGCGCAGGTCGCCCGGGCGCTCGCGGCCGCGCGGGTCCCGCGGGGCACGCGCTCTCCCGCAGCCCCCGCCCCCTGTCACGCCGCGTCCGGGTTCCCACGGCGCTCGCCCCCGCGCGCCTGGCGCCGCCCGCGCGCCCTCCGCGCCGCCCGGCCCGCCCAGGCCTCTCGCGAACATGGCGCTTGTCCCCTGCCAGGTGCTGCGGGTGGCGATCCTGCTGTCCTATTGCTCTATCCTGTGCAATTACAAGGCCATCGAAATGCCCTCGCATCAGACCTACGGAGGGAGCTGGAAATTTCTGACGTTCATTGATCTGGTAAGGCCGTCCCCTCCCCCCAACCGCCCGCCCTGCGCCCGGTGTCCCGTGTGCGTTTCGGGGGCGCCAGCACCTGCGCGCCTTCCCCTGTGCTCGCGTCTTCCCAGTGACGCTTCACAGCGTCTGAAGGCCTGGCTGCCTCCGCTGTGGCACCTTCGGAACCACCCACCGTTACCTGGTAGCTGGGGACGAATGGAGGTGGGGCGTGGCCAGGCGGTGGGCTATTGGAGAGGGACACAGACCTGCTTCTAAGAGGTGACATGAGAAGATTCATCATCTACCCAAAGCATCCGACGACCTTGATCACGAGTGGCTTCAGTCGCATTCGCCCTCAAGGTGCTTTCTAGAGCACCCGCCATCGCCATCGGATAAATTTGCAGCATCGAAGGAAACTGGGTATTGTCTAGTTACTTGAAGCTTCGTGTGAAAGCGCCCAAATCCCTCTTCTATGACAGATGAAGCACCTAATAAACTTAACTTGTTTGCATCTGGGTTTTTTTTTTCCCCATTGTCAATAGTTTCCTTGCAACCTTTGCCCCAGAAACATCAAGGGAGAGAGATTTTCAAAGTGTATTCCTACTGTGGCTGTGCACTGCTCTTGGTCTCCTCTGGTATAAGTTTGCAGTGTTTGCATAAGCAGGTCCTCTGTTGGCACCACATGATACTCTTAACAGGTATAGGTTATTATTATTTTAAAGGTTGTCTGTTTCTGGTACTAAAAGGGCTTCCACAGGGACACAGGGTAGACTTTGGAACTTCTGGGCCAAAGATCAGGACACACACACACACACACACACACACACACACGCACACAAAAAGACTATCAAGCATGGGCAGAGGGTTAAAACAAAAGCAACAGAGTTCTAAAGGACTCAGAGAAAATGCAGAACCAGCTGCTGGAATGCTGGAACTGTCTGTTCAAGATTTACACAAGGTTGGCCACACACCACAGCTATCATCACTTTGATTGAACCTTCATTTTGATAAAGAGAACTTGATACTTACTTTAAGGTCTTTCCAAAGGTTCAGTATGCCTCAAAAAAAAAAAAAAAAAGCCATTAGAGGCTTTAGAATACCACCTTATATTTGCAATATATTTCAGTGAGCAATTTAAATTCTTTTCCCCAGCAATCCTAGGCACACATGGAGTGCTCCAAGTTTTCATTTTCAAATCTTCCACTTTCAACTCTTTCTTGAAACTAATCTGCCTCTGAGCATGTGAATTTCTTTCCAATAGCCTTTCTTCCTCTCCATTCATCCAGGTGAGGAGCAAATGCCAAGGCTGGGTCTCTTATTTTTTTCTGAATGCTCCTTTTAGCATTCAGAAAATATGTGACTGTCACCAGGACTATCTTCATATCTGATCGAAAACCAGTTGGAGTTGTTTTGTCAGAAAGACTCATTGGATTGAGTAGCTTATCAATAAGAATTGGCTTCACCAATTATGTTATGCAGAAATTTTGCATAGATTGAATGATCTCTATATCCCTAAGGTTCTGGTAAAGATGTGTAAAAGACACAAGTACCATATACAGAGCACCAGAAATCATGTCCCTTCTTCAAGTATTAAATCTTAAGTTAAAGATGTTTAGATGTATTTAAAAATACACACATAGATGTTCAGAATTCTTTTAAGGGCCTAGGTGAACAAAACTCCTTATCCCCTTCCTAAGGCAGATCTTTTCTTAGAACTGGCCCATTTGAGTGTTGCTAAGGAGGGAGCCATAGATTCTTCAAACAGTGCACAGCCCTGCCCTGCTATTTTTCGGGGAACAGGTGAATGGATCAGTGGCGAGAAGGGTGGAAATTGAGTGTGTTGGTTACCCCAAGAGAGAGGACTGCTTTCTCACAATGGCCTCGCTTCTAATGTGTTAGAAAACAAGGCTCACAAGAAATAATACACCTCTTGTAACCTTCGTGTGACATGGAATGGTAGTAGAGTCAGTCAGTCTGACGTGCTGTCATGCAATTTCTATTTTAACATTTGATTATTGGACTTGCCTATTTTAAACATCAGTAATCTCAAAACTATACTTTTGTTTTCTATTCCAGTATTTAGACGATAGATTCAAATATAAAACTTGTACTTTTGTATTTATATTTGGCCCTGTGTGTGTATAGGGCCTTTAGCCAACCCTTCAAAATCTTTACACTTTGTGGCTCCTGATTGAAATACAATAATTATACTTAGCCAAGAGTTCCTGTGAGAAAATATGTCTGGAATATATTTGTAAAAGCTCACATGCAAAGTGTTACTCTTTTTATTAGAGATTTCAAGTCCTTAGAGCTTAAAACAACCATCTTGTTAGTCTGCCATGATGGCATGAAAAGATGAGGCTACTGAAATGTACCTGTTTAATTTTACATTTTTTTGTGTACTTAAGAAGATACTGAATGAACTTTATTTCCTAGTGCCTTTGACAATTTTAATGATTCTAAACTTATTGGAGCAATTTGGAAGAGGGTTTAGCTTCATCAGAATTTTAATAAGAAGGCTCTTTTTTCTGGCCAACCTGGTTGCAGAGTCAGGGCATTAATCCTGATGGTCACAGTTGGATTCCATGTTCTATGCATCAGTTTCCTCTAATGAGAGTTGGGAAATGCGGACTAATGTCTCCAGGTGCAGATGATTCCATGGTAGTGGCCTCTAGCTATATTTGCATTGCTCTTTGGGTATGAAAGTCATTCTAATAGCATCAGAGTTCATGGTCAAAAACTGGAAAACATGTTATTATTACCAGTAATCACATACTATTATGGACCAAGAGCTTCTTTTCCTAGTATTGAAAGATTGTAAAAGAACCTGATCATTTTTGGAAAGTTCAAGTTAGTAAATGGAAAAAGAAACACTGTCTTGGTGTGGTAGGCAGAATTATGGGTTCCCAAAGATTTCAACATCCCCATGGCCAGAACCTGTGAATATGTTATATTGTATAGCAAAGGGAATGAAGATTGCTGGTCAACTGACCTTAAAATAGGGGGATTATTCTGGAATATCTAGTTAGGCCCAATGTTATGGCTTTGGTTCTTTTGGAATGATTCTTATTCTCAAAGAGTGATGAAAATACAATCGGAATGGACACTGCCACAGAATCTTGAGGGTCCTTAGAAATGGAATGAGGAAACAGAAGAGTCATTTGAAAGAAGATGTGACTGAGGAGGAAAGTCACAAATAGATCATCAACATTGCTGGTGCTGAATGGAAGAGGGGTCATGAGCCAAGAAGTGTGAAAGGCATTTAGAAGCTGAGAATAAGGAAAATGGATTTTCCACTGGAGTTTCTGGAAGGAACACAGCCCTGAGTTTTAACCCAATAAAACCAGTTTTGGACTTTCTGACCTCAGGAATTATGAAACAATTACTTGTGTTGTTTAGCCACTGAACTAATAGTAACTTGTTACAGGAGCAATAGAAAACTCATACATTTGGCTTTAAAGCTTCTGACCTGGAAAAAAAATCTAATTTTTTTTTTTTTTACTTATGTGAAACAAAATACTCTACTAGTCCTTGTATATTAAATAACTGGCTAATTTTATCTTTAACCAAAACATAGGTTTTTACCCATGAAACTCTGTGGAGAAGACATGCATGTAATGTGCACAGTGTGAGAATTTATAGACTGAAAAACATTGGAAAATGTTAGGCCTTTTCTCTTTGTTTTTAAATATATTTTTTAATATTTATTTTTAAATTGTAGTTGGACACAATACCTGTATTTATTTTTATGTGATGCTGAGGATCAAACTCAGGGCCTTGCACATGCTAGGCAATCAATTTACTGCTGAGCCACAACCCCAGCCCTGGGCCTTTTCTTAACTGTGAATTATTTCAGAAACTATTGTTTGCAAGATGCCAGACCAAGGCTAAGGGAAGGAATCCTCTTAACTGGAAATAATCTGGAAAAAACTGAAAATTTCAAACAAACTGATGTTCCAGTATTTCCTTAATAAATATCACAACTGATGAATTTTCTTAAAATGATGGAGACTTGTTCCCTTATTCCTTGCTGTGATCCTTCTCATAGATACTGCCAAAGACAATAAAAAAAAGAAGAATCAAAATAAAACCAGCAATAAATAAATGAAAACGGCAGCTGTAATTTGAAGCTTCACCCTAGTACTTGGGGTATATGGGAATTTTCCCTTTCCAGATTTTTAATGAGCATTCTTTTCTTTTCTCCTCCTGAAATATTAAAAACAATAGAAATTTTAAACAGCATGTCAACCAGAACTTTATTTGGATGTGTATGGTAAATTGCCTAACAAATAAGTCAGAACCAACTTCTTTGAAAAACATAAACTGGGAGTTTGTTATTAAAAATTAAATTAATAATGATATTGGGTTTGAAAGTTGGATTTTTAAAGATTGGAACAGAGATCTGGCTATCTCTTTTGCTCTGCTTTATGGTATTTACTGTTTATGATCTTCATCATTCCTCCTGTACTGGACTTTTCATTCATGCATTGGCAGTATATTGTTGCCAAGATGCTGCCTACTCAAAGGGTGGGCTGAGACCCACATGAGCCGCTATCTCTGGGAGCTGGCTTCACCCCACACCTTGAGTCAGAATTTGCATTTTACTGAGCTTATCAGGTGATTACCATTGCACATTTTGGTTTGATAAAAGCTACTCTAGGAATTTTGTAGTTTAATATGGGATAGCTGTAGGGCCCAGCCTTCATGTAGGCATTCTGCCTACTTTCAAAACATATTTAAAGTGGCTTTCACTATGACAAAATTAAACACATGTAAAAACTTACAACTTGAAAATAAAAGAAAAAATAGAAACAGGCACAGAGATGGGTAGTTATTGCAATTTAGAAATGAATTAAATAAGCTTTAGGGCAGCCAATGCAAAAATGAAGAAATTGTTTGATAGTCCTTAGCTTTGGAATAAAGGACGCATACCAATTTATCAGGAAAAAGACAGTTTCTTTCCACACATTAACTTTTCAAGGTTATTTATCATTCAGATCCTCATATAACGGACATCAGGTAGC